ATTTTAGGATTTGTTCAAAAAAGTTGACAACTGATTCCTCATCCCCAATGCTCATGATGTCAAATCTGCTTGTGAAGATTAAGTCCGGAACTGTCATCCTTACAGTTATTTCTAGGATTTGGCATTATGAAATCGACAAATGAAAGCAAAACCACAAAATATTGCAAGTGGCTCAGCCTGTCAGTCCAGTCCACTCCTCTCTCTCTCTCTCTCTCTCTCTCTCTCTCACTGATTGTCTTAGTTTGACCATGTATGCACACAGCACAGCCAGGCTCTTAAGAAAATGTTCAATCCACTTGACATGTGTATGACTGCTTCCCATGGGCCTGTATCACAAGTAGTGAGTGATTAACAGTGAAGAGCATACACTCCCTGTTTATTAAGCCTGTTGTGTAATGGGCTCACAGCCAGAGCTGCCAGCTGTGCCCACCCCACTCACTCGTTCAACAGGATCACTGATACCAAGCTGGTACGCAGATAATCTACCCAGCAAAGAGAGAAAAACATGTTAGTAATGTCGGTTAGCAGAACTAAAATGAACCATGTCCTCTTAGAGACCAACAACTACAATGCGTACTGTACCAATGCTCTGCATCACTCTCATCACTCTGCTAGTGTATGCTAAGGCAGTGGTTCAGGGTCCGGGGACCCCCAGAGGCCCTTGAGGGGGTTCTAGGTGTTTCCCAGCAAAAAGGGGATAGGGGACCCTGGAACAAGATCTTATCAAATGGGGCTCCGTGGTCTAATTTGTATAAGTTTAGGGGTCATTGATGTGAAAACGTTTTAGAACCACTGTGCTAAGGTAAACAGACATTTCTGCTAATGGAATAGCCAAATTATAACAGTTAGCTTCCATTGCTGTAACAGGTTACTTTCACAACATATAAAGAAACAGTAACTGTCATTTTCACCCACAAAACAGTTCAACAAGGAGAATGGCCAAGCGTATAGCATAACAGTAGTATTTTTTTTTGGCATGCTTGGTCTCTCAACTCTATTTTATTTCAAGATCCAGAAGTCACTTTCTTCTCAAACTTGTTCTTATTTTCAAACTGTGTCAGGCTGTGTAGGAGCTCATTAAAAGGCAGGAATTAATGTGTATACGATAGCAGGGCAACCGGACAAATTTGACAGATTCATTCTGCCCTGTTAGGCACATCAACTTAGTACCCTAAAAATCTGTGGGAAAACTGCCACTTTTTCCTAGTTTGTTACCATCCACAAGGAAACCAAATATGACTCTCTTACTTTCTTATAATCTCTATTCAGCTGTTTATCAGTTTCACTCCCTTACTGTGTTGTTGTCTAATCCACTACTTTTTTGGAAAATATGTCGCAGGCTTTAACATTTTACTTGCTTTCTGTCTTTTTTTAGGCTTAAACCTCAAGGTGAGGAAGTGAGAACAGACATAACAATCAGCAGAGGTCAAGTTTGCAGATGATCTTCTGTCCTGGATTCTGCAAATAACTTTATCCTGGATTAGAAATCACTGCTCAGGAGAGTGCCTACAGCATCTAGCTAACAGCAAATGCACCTTCCATCCAAGCCTTTCTCCAGAACGCTGCCTCTCATCTAAGCTTTGTGTGAGCAGAGAGAGCAGACAATATGGCGCCTAGCTCGCAGCGTTGGCCTTCTCTACTCTGGCTGGGCATGGGATTGCTTCTTTCCTTTCTGTTGCCCATACATGGCAAAGATTGTCCACGTTTGTGTGTATGCGAGGTTCGCCCCTGGTTCACCCCCCAGTCGACATACAAGGAGGCAACCACAGTGGACTGCAATGACTTGAGGCTCACGCGCATCCCTACCAACCTGTCCACAGATACTCAGGTGTTACTGCTCCAAAGTAACGCCATCTCTCACACCAGTGGAGAGCTGGAGGCGCTGTTCAACTTGACAGAGTTGGACCTATCCCAGAACAACTTCAGCACTGTGGAAGCTGTGGGCCTCACAAGCATGAACCACCTGACCACCCTGCATCTAGAGGAGAACCAGATCAGCCAGCTGCCAGACCACTGCCTGGGAAACCTTTCCAATCTCCAGGAGCTCTACATCAACCACAACCAGATAAACTCCATCTCCCCTCGGGCATTTGCTGGTCTGTACAGCCTGCTGCGCCTTCATCTCAACTCCAACAGGCTCCATGTCATAGACAACCGCTGGTTTGAAGAAACACCTAACCTTGAGATCCTCATGATAGGGGAGAACCCAGTTATTGGCCTCCTAGACATGAACTTTAAGCCTTTGGGAAGCCTGAGGAGCCTGGTTCTGGCTGGCATGGACCTCACCGATGTGCCAGCAAATGCATTTGTAGGTTTGGATAACCTTGAAAGCATTTCTTTCTATGACAACAAACTGGTCAGAATCCCTCAACTGGCTCTTCAAAAAGTTCCCAATCTGAAATTCTTGGATTTAAACAAAAATCCAGTTCACAAAATCCAAGAAGGAGATTTCAGGAACATGTTACATCTGAAGGAGCTGGGTATCAACAACATGATGGAGTTAGTCTCAATTGACCGCTATGCTCTGGACAACCTACCAGAACTGACAAAGCTGGAGGCCACCAACAACCCTAAGCTGTCTTATGTGCATAGGTTGGCCTTTAGGGACATGCCCTCCTTGGAGAGCCTGATGCTCAACAGTAATGCACTCACTGCCCTTTACCAGCACACAGTGGAGATGTTGCCTAATCTGCGGGAGATCAGTCTGCATAGCAACCCATTGCGCTGTGACTGTGTCATTCAGTGGATGAATTCCAACAGGACCACGGTGCGGTTCATGGAGCCCCTGGCCATGCTGTGTACCTCCCCACCAGAACTCAGAGGCCAGCAGGTTCGAGAGTTAAGGCTGCTGGAGTCCCCGGAGCAATGCCTCCCCCTCATATCACACAACACCTTCCCCGGCCACTTGAACCTTGAGCTGGGCATGAGTGTCACTCTCGACTGCAGGGCCATGGCTGAGCCAGAGCCTGAGATCTACTGGGTGACTCCTCTTGGAACCAAAATCACAATGGACACTGTGTCAGAGCGGTACCACTTGAGCAACGAGGGGACCCTGCGTCTGTCTCATGTTCAGGTGGAGGATTCTGGTCGGTACACCTGTGTTGCCCAGAACACAGAAGGAGCTGACACACGGGTCGCCACCATCCGCGTAAATGGCACCCTGCTCGACAGCGCCCAGGTGATGAAAATCTATGTCAAGCAGACTGAGTCGCACTCCATCCTGGTCTCCTGGAAAGTCAATTCTAACGTCATGTCCTCCAACCTGAAGTGGGCCTCAGCCACCATGAAGATTGACAACCCGCACATCACCTACACAGCTCGTGTCCCTGTAGATGTTCATGAGTACAACCTCACACACCTTCAACCTGCCACCGAGTATGAGGTGTGCCTTACAGTGTCCAACGTCCACCTGCAAACGCACAAGTCTTGTGTCAATGTGACAACACGTAGTGCTACTTTTGCCCTGGACCTGTCAGACCAGCACCCGAGTGCGGCTGTGCTGGCTGTCATGGCGACCATGCTGGCCTTCCTCAGTCTGGCCACTGTGGGCGTCTACATGGCTCGCAGATGGAAGAGAAAAAACTACCACCACTCTCTGAAGAAATACATGTTGAAGACGTCTTCCATCCCCCTGAACGAGCTTTACCCTCCTCTCATCAACCTGTGGGAGACTGACGGTGAGAAGGACAAAGATGGCGGCACAGAGGGAAAACCCTCTCCTGTTGACACCACACGCAGCTATTATATGTGGTGAGGATTTAGTAAGGAGGCCTGGCTGCCTCTCCAGCAGCACAAAAAGACACACTTTTGCCATTTTGGTGCAAAAGTTGAATAAAGTTGCAATGGTTTTTTTGTATTCTCAGCTTTGCTAATAAGAGGCAGAGTGATCAATGACATTATTTTTATTAGTATAGCGTATCGCCTTCGTTTGATTCTTTTTATCTCTTAAATGTTTTGGACTCTCCAAGATGGCAGCTGTATTTAGCCTCCAGGTTGTCTTAGTTGCTATGCTCTTGATTCTGTGGTGCATTTTTGACTAATTTTCTTTTGGGATAATAATACGGCAGCAGGGGCTGATGGTCTTCTTGCAGCATTAGTGAAAATCAATGTTTCTTTCTCTGTTTTGTAAAACAGGTAATCTGTTGTGCACTGATAGATAACAGAGTTTTTGTATGAACTTCAATTAAAAGCTGACAGCGTGGTTTAGACTTGTTAAACTGTCTACTGAATGTTAGCAATTGTGCAGTAATGTTGTATCAACTATACCTTTGAATTTTCTGATTTAAATTGAAAGATAATAGGAACTTAGTTTGCTGATAAATGTGATGTTAATGCTAGAAATACAAATGTTTGTTAAAACATTGAGTTTTTTTTCTAAGGTACACTAGAAACCTTTCGACCCTTTCCCCGTTTACTCACTTATTTTGCTAGACATTTTCGCTAATTGCTTAGTTGATTATTATCACATGCAATATGTATACTGACAAAGTTAAAATAAATAATTTTGGTTCTTTTGCAGACATATGGTCTTTTTTCAACTGCTGTTCTAGTCTTACAGGTACACTATCTGTTCAGTTTAAACAGGCACACTCACTCCCTGGTGACTCATGCTGCTGGTTTCATGTGGATTCTTAATCGCATGTCTTTGAAGAACGTGAGCCCATCTCAGTCGAATAGTGACTGAATCATTTTACACTGTCAGTGCTCACTGCCCTGAACTATTCTGCTTAACTACAGCTTAACTTCTCAATATGAGTAGGTGCAAACACATATGTATACACTTGAGACTGACGGGCAGATAGTGATACATGCAGTAGATATTTGAGCATATGCTGCCCTCTGGTGGATGTTATACACTACTACATACATATTAAACCTGTTTAATTTGGAGGTCAATAATTATAAATCACACTAACAGCAAAGTAGCACCCTGACATTTAGCATCAATTAATAAAACCTAAAGTCTCTCATACAATTTCAGTGTAAGATTCTGAGTCACATTAAGACCAAAAACGTTTTTTTAATTTAGGATCCCATTTGTCACAGATTTTTCAGTGAAAAAAATGTAATACAATACTTGAAATTAATTTTACAGCAATTCTACAGCATCATTATACATATATAGTTTACATAGATTTTCAGTCTTTATCTTAATCATTTGATGATAACGACAATCTGTCAAAGATCTTTTTGACATTTACAAGACCACACTGATCTTAGCCACTTCACAACCATCTAATCTATTAATTTCTTATGAATATAAAGTGTTAAAAAAATAGAAAGTTATAAAATTTTACATTTCTGAGGAAGGTAAGACATTGTCATCACACTTTGAAGCCCACCGTCTTTTTTTAAACACCATCTTCAGATGCATGTTAATGAGATGGCACATAAGATAGCCTCTATTAAATCCCTTTCATTGGTTTAACTCTACAAACACCACTGAGGTTAGAGAGCAGCTGGAAGGAAGGTGTTTTAAGACAAGAGGCTCAGGTCACCGTTGCTCCTGAGAGACACAGCGAAAACCAAGATTAGAGGCTGAGCTGTCCGGAGTGTTCTGGCTTCGGGCTGCACATCGGTATCTGTAACAGTAAGACTGGAGGAGGGGGAAAGAAGAGAGGGGAATTTACTGTCAATAAATACATTTTATCAGCAATGGAAAGTGCTTTGTTACAGTATATTTAAAAAAACAACTATGGAGAGCATTTTAGTTTAGCCACTACTTTATTTCTAATTTCTTGTTGCTTTTTGTTCATGCTGGACTGAGCCTGTTTCACCAAACATGTCTGACTGCTGTCCTCTCCTCCCTCACATTTACGTTTATTCATATGAAACAAACAGACCTCTGTGCTTTAGATTTATTTTGCATGCAATTCGTCACATTCCCATGGCAACAAACGCCGATAGCAAGAAAACCGGAATGGTCAACAGTGGGCGGCTCAAATGGTGTTACAGATAAATTAATGTACCATATGCCTGTGTATGAGTTCTCTTGTCGTCTCCATGAACATTATGAGACTTTCACAAGTCTCTAAAATCCAAAACAAGCACAGCCACAGAACAAGTGGCCAGGCGTCTGTGCATGAGCTAGCACAGACACAACATTAGCCTCACATAGCAGGAAGAAAAGAAAGAATGGGAGAGAGGCTGCATTTTCTCTTTGTAATGAAACAGATCGAGAAATATGATGTGCGAGCTGTTTTTGCCTCCAATACTTCCAATAAAACAGGTTTGCACCACTTACCAGAACTATTTTGTTTTCACTGACTGATATTTGACGATCAAGATGTTGAACTTTGATGTTTTGATTAAATCTAGAGTATAATAAGCATGAAAATGTTGAAGTAGTTGTCTTCTTTACCTTGTGGCACATGTATGACCCTCCCTTCTTCACCTTGTCTGTGCCCGATGGTGGACCCGTCTGAGAGAGAGAACAATTATTAGGTATCAGGGGAAAAACTAAACCTGGACACCTCAAAAGCTGACAATATGTTCTTACTGGGTTGTGTTGCTGGTCTGTGGTGTGATGCACAGTCCACCAGTCTGAGGTCCATTCCCATGCATTCCCTACCATGTCAAACAGACCAAAACCATTGGCAGGAAAGGACATCACCTGCAAGGTACGGGGATAATAATACCACATTAATGCAGGTTCTGATGAAGAACTTTATTAGAATGAAACACTTCGTTTCTTCTGAAAGCATGGAGGATGTGTAACATATGTAAGCCATATGAACCTGTACGTGCATATTTGCATATTTGCCAGAATGATCATGCGACTCTGAGGGGACTTTCCAAGAACAAAGTGACTCACAAATACAGTGTTCAGTCTGGATTTACAGGTAGTCCCATCTTTTTTTCTCCACTGTTTTTTCTATTGCCCAACATGTCAACCCGCAGGATGTGATAGTAATAATAAAAAGCATATTTCATTTGTGTAATTATAATCAGGCAAGCATAAACATCCCTGTACTTTCAGATAGTGGGATCAGAAAGGTGGACTGTTCCTCCAGCAATGTACACCCCTAAAGAGTGCATACACTCACGACTGATACTTCGAAAGTTTTATCAACTCCAGAACTTTTCATTTCCTGTTGATTCTATAGGCATTGGCTCAATAAATTTGTCTCTGTCATCCATCCTCCTCCCCAACCTGAAATATGATGCGTGTCTTTAACACACCCATAACTATGGCATCTCTCAGTCTTTCCTTCTTGGTCTTACCGGTGATGTTTTGATGTATCCATCTTCTCCAGAGTTATAGTTGGGGAAATCCCCCTGCCAGAGGTTGGCGTAGTGTTGTCCTTTCGGGTTCAAATTGTTTCCCCAGGGGTAAAGTCTATATGCAGAGGTAATATAGCAGGAAATTGACATCAGACATAAAGTAAGACCACATTACATCGGCATATTTAAGAGTTACATAATGTAGTAAACATCGTACCTGTCTTTAAGGCCGCCCCTGCACGCATACTCCCACTCTGCCTCTGTAGGAAGTCTCCTGTTGGCCCAGGAGCAGTAGGCGACAGCATCTGACCAGGACACATGTAGAACAGGATGGTCCAGTCTACATAAAAAACAGGTTTGAAGTTAATTACTGAGCTTTTTTTTGGTTTATCACTTTGCTTTTGACAAAAGACGTAACAGTCAAAAAATAAAACAAGTATTTAAATGGTCATTTTAATGGTTTGTATTCTCCACACCGATCCCGTCTGACCTCAATTCCAGTGTAAGTGATGGTGGACAAGATCCACAGTCCTTGTTACAGGTTTTACAAATCAAATTCGCTCTTTGTGTTTCCAGTGAGAAAAAGTGAGGATTTGGTAAGTGCAGAATAACCCTCTTGATTTGTCTCACTCAGACTGCTGCAGTCTCATGCTTTTACACTGAAAGGCAAGTGTGGATTCTGTCCCCCATCACTTACAATGGAATCACGCTCACGGCCAGTATGGAGAGGAAGAACAATTACAGTGACCAAAAGCAATGTGCATATGGACATGCCAGTATTGACAGACTTGAAAAATGTGAACCTTCCCTTTAATATTAAAAAACTGGTGAAAATGGGCATTCTTATAAAATATTTGCAGAACTTCTTTCTACCTGTCTGTGACACTGGAGTCTGGGCCGTAAGGGTGTCTCCAGTTGGCCCCTGTGACTGGAAGCCACCAGGGGGCAGCAGCCACCTAATAACAAAGTGATGGTAACAATTGTTAAAGACAGATATTATGCTCCATTCATACTCCTTATTCCATTTCCACACACACACACACACACTCTCTCTCTCTCTTCAGGGTTCACATAGTATTGTCTTTACTGTAGCAGATTGCAATGGTGCTAATGGTTTCCAGTATAATGGGTAAACAGCACCCTCTCAGCCACATGATCAGGCTGCACATGACAGCTGAGATGAAGCAGTAAATTTCCCGCTGTCTGGCTTTCGTCTATGGAGGGCCTTCTGTGGTCAGGCCTCTCACTGATCTGTGAACAGCCTCCAGACTGTAAAATAACAGTAGAGTATGTCCTCATGTCTATCTAAAACCAAAACTATTTTCAACCCGAGGCTGGTACTTTGACAGCTTTCCACATAAAGGCTTAGTGCACATAGATTACTCTAAAGATATTCAAATACATCATGGTGGGAGGAATATCAAAATAATCACAGAAACAAATTGTAAAACACACAAGATGGAAATTTTAAATTTCCTTCCACTTTATATTCTCAAAAAAACACGCAGACATCGTCTTTCGTCTTATTCTCTGAAAACACTGCCTCACATGGCTCTTGTGCCATTTTATCACATCTCCCCTGATGACAAACTGGATATAATTTGCTGCTCTAGGAACTTTTCACAGTTGCCTGGAAGCATTAAGAATCTTAGGAATATTAAACACCTAATTATGACTAAGCACATGACTATGACTTGCTCTCCCTGCTTCATTATGGTATAATGCAGTCTACCATGTTCTCTCTGTTCTTCCTGGTATGGTTGGAGCAGCTTAGCAAAAGAACAAAATCTGTCATAGCCAACAATTCTTATAGTACTGTACTGTACAATTACTGTGGTAAATAATCATACTTACTGCTTGGGTGATTTGGTTTTTGACACTCTCACTCAAAATTCCCTCGAATACAAATGAGTCTCCGAATTTCTCTGCCTGAAAGCAGAAGGACAAAAAAATTATGAGCAAAGAGGATATCTACTAACCTTATAACATAAAAAAAAACTGCTAAAGATTTGCTTCCATACTGGGTTTTGATTGGTTTGAGTGATTCAATTCATTTTTAAAGGAATTTAAAAAATAAGCTTATGGTTTAAATAGTTCTATCTAAACGGTTTAGATACCGTAATTATCCCCACCTCAGTAATATATCCCGTGGCATTGACGAAGCTCTGGAACTGCTTGTTAGTGACTTCCTGGATGTCCATGTAGAAAGAGTCCACATGCACCAGCCTCTGAGGGCCCTCGCCATCTGCAGGGATGCCTGGGTTGTCTGTTCCCATCAGGAACTCTCCTCCAGCAATCAGCACCATCTGTATGCAGGAAACAAACTCTTTTTACAAACAGACGAGACAAGCAAAAAGACGCCTAAGAAGAGGAGACAATTTTTAGATTGACAGCTGGCTACTTAGACGTTTCTTCTATTTAAATTCGGTGTTAATGCAGAGATTGGCTTTTATGCACATGGCTGAACTGTTATTTTTCTTTCAAGTTGTCCTAAATTATGGCACCAGATGTCACCTATATTAAAGTATATTAAATTAAGTGTGTATTGTGCGGGGCCTGCCATCTATTGTTGCCTGTGTTTTTATTTTCGGACAAAGGGAACTCCCATGCGTTTGGCTGATTCAGAGAAGCAGGCAGACTGCTTCACTAGGATTGGAAAACCCTGACTTTGACTGTCTCTAACCAAAGTCAAAAATAACAATCTAACTTGTACAGTTTGTTTAAAGACATACTGGAGTATAAAACACATTGTCCAGTCCCCTCTCAGAGCCAGCTTAGTGTAATCTATAAACAACTGCTAACAATGAAGTTCACCTAAACCACAAACATGCAGTCTTTCTCTGAAACTGTTTAAAACAACTGTTAGATAGTGACTTGCAGGAAATCCATCATATTCACTATGTGGTAGGCCGTTTGATCTGACCGATCAAATCTGAAGAACTGATTTGCAGCGCGAAATTGCTGCTGCAGAGAGGGTTTTAGTGTTTTGTTTAAGGACACTTCAGCGGGGCAAGTGGATACAACATCAAACTGCTTTTTAGTTTAAAATGAGAACTTGTGTGCACTGAGAGCCCCTATGTCGAAGATGTCAACTTTTCAGGAACTCAGATCATCTGTTTTTCTCACGTTTGACTAAACAAAGATGTTTAGTTTATCTGAGAGAGAGTGTCATTCTCAATGCCAGCACTTTGTCTTTTAGTTGAAGTTTAAAATAATACTTAATAACATTTTAGTATTCCCTGCTGGGCCATTGATCCAAAGTCCCAGAAGGGACCTTTGTTGCACGCAGTCTTCTCTATCCCAATGTATCATGTCTTCTGCCCAGTAAAGGCAAACTGCGATCGATTACCTGACTTTGTGTTTTTTTCTCATCTCCCTGAGCCTCGAGAGGCCTCTCATTGGCGCCTCTTGAGTATTTGTCAACTGGCTCTGCAGAAGCAGCCCTGTCCTCCACAGGCCCCGCAGCGGCGGCTCTCTGCAGGTTCTCACAGCCGCAGCCCGCGGCTCCCTGCGGGGCGGCGGGTTCCGGCTGAGTCCCGCATGAACCGTGAAGACACGACGCTCTGTTCACACAACAAAATACGAATAACAACGCAAAATAACGCACCATCCTTGCAGGACTCTGCTCAAGATCTGCCCATGTTTGTTTCTGCTCTCACTTCCGCAAAGTAAGTCACGTGGTCAGTCAGCTGGCTGCGACGTACCAAAATGTAACTGTTTCCTGCCCGAAGTGAATAGTTGTAATATATTTCTGTTCAAAAGTGTGATTAAATTGCTAATTATTGTTAGGACTTGTAAACATAACAGAATAAAAAATGTTTTAATGTCAATTAAGTGATAAAATCACTTACTTATAGCTAAATATAGTTCAAAAAGTTGTTAAAAACATACGGTGCTGTTTGACAGTTTATAGCCTATCACATAACAGACTTTCCCTGCATTTAAATCAAGGCTCCTTGCTGGGGAGGGATGCTCCAGCCTAGATTTTCCTTGTTGATGGGATGGGGCCACATGGACATCATTTCCCAGCTATCAACACTACGGTCGCTTGAGAAGAAGAAGAAGAAGAAGAAGTGGCAGTGAGCCAGGCAGCTCAGCCAGCAGTGTGCTGCCTGCCTCAGTCAACACACTCCCGGGAGCACCAACGGGCGCGGAGAGGTGCTAGAGCTGTCAAAAAGAAAACTGGATTATTACAGTCGCTGACGGCTGGATCTCACCCTCGGTCACGGTGAAAAGGAGAGCCACAGTCATGTTGTCTTAGCCGGTCCAGAGATAGCAGAACACCGGAGCGTTAGCCACAACCGAGGTAAAGTTGAGCGCACAACTTGTTCAGTTCACCATCCTCTCTTCCTGTCTCTATCCTCCCGCAGGGGAGGAAAAAATATTTAGCTCGCTCTCCTTAAATGGTTAACAAAATGCTCCCAGCTCATGACCAGTGCTTGTGATGTCCTCGTTTACACAGTAGTGACCGAAAACAGGCAAGACAAGGATTCCGGTAATAATTTGGGACGTCTGTGGAACTGTGTGATTGCGGATGCCGATTTAAAAAAAAACACTTCCACGGGACGCGTTTACTCAAGTTTCATGTGTGTTTTTGTGGTCAGATAAACAGGCCTGTAAGGAAGATGCTCTCTTTCGCTGTGTAAGAGCTGCCCATGTTTATCATTATATGTCATTACTTAAGTCAGTCGAAGCCACCAGTTTATTTTATCGTGATGTATAGACCTCAGTGCTTCAAAAACAGGCAGACAGGCCGAGTGAAGTGGACCTGCAGTGCCCGCATCTCAGCCCCAGCGGCTACGACCTGTTGAAGGGGCATAAACTGTCCTGCAGCTCCTAACCATTAGCTGTACAGCCCTAACCACAGCACAACACAAACAGTAACATAAAACTTTTTTTCCCCTGCGAATTTTCCTGCAGTTTATGCAAATCATTGCAGCCATGTCAGTGCTCGATATCAGGGATCCCTCTCTTTTAAAATGGCACTTTCATCTAACTGGGAACTCTGTAGCTACATAAGAGTTTGCGTGTGAATATTGAGTGACTTTCTCATATTTGCTAACTGAAATTCATGGATGAATGCTCAATAGCTACGGGAATTCAGCAGTGCAGTTGCATAGGTGAATTTGAATAGATTTAAAAATTTTATAAGACAGAATTCAGAATTAATTCACTTCTACTGCCTTTTAGACTTTTGTGACACATGTCTGATATTAGGAATACAATGTGAGTAAAGTCGACTTTCTATGTGATGAATAGGCTTTTTTAAAACAAATTTTCACTCCTTGCTTCTGCTTTAGGTGGTCTCTGTGTCAAACATGTCAGATAAGATGTCCAGCTTCTTGCACATCGGGGACATCTGCTCCCTGTATGCAGAGGGATCCACCAATGGTTTCATCAGCACCCTGGGGTATGTTCATCTCACTGGCTGAACATTATGTGTGTGTTTGGGGGGTTGTTTCACAGGTTTCTTAGTACTACTTAAAGCTGATCCGTATTTACAAAGAAGGAAGTCACACTTGTTGCTGCGACTGTTAACCAATTTTCAGAAAGTTTAATTTTGTGAGAAATACATTTTGGTGCCATCCAAAAAGAGCATTTCCTTTTGCGTGTGTGTTTGTGTGTGCCTGATGAATATTTGTTTGCATGCGCCATATGCAAAAGTGCCCACCGTCAGTGACAGAATGCAGTAAAGCTGTTAAGGGGAGATAAATGGATGTAATTTTGCAGTTTATCCCGCAGAACAAAGCTGTGAAAACAGTGGGAGCGCTTTAAAGTGCTGCTTTGGCCATGACTGACCCCACTACTGATAGTGCTGGGAGAAAGGAAATATAGGAGAGCCAAATGCACAGTTAATGATAAAGTGTGTTTGTGAGCTTGCGGCAGGGGTGGGTGTGGAGGGCAGAGTTAGAGGGGGAAATCGATGAGGTGGTGCTGTGTGGGATACCCAACGCTAATGGTAAAACTCTATTTACAAGAAGCCACTCGTTTACCCACACAGTCGCAGCAATAGTGTGTTGTTTTTCTCCATAGTTGTACCTCATATTTGGAACGCAATAAAAGCAGGTAGATGCATATTGGGCTATGTGTGGAGACGACAGAATGTCCTGGTGAATGGATTGATTGGTCTTAACACTTTTGGAGTTTTAACGTTCCCTCTTCTGCTCTGAGGGGCGATAAGAGCAAGCTTGCACTCATGTTTTGCAGGTAGAGACCACAAAATACTCATAGTGAGGTGCTGTCAGTGCTATCAGCTCAGTGTCCAGGACTGCTCATGAAAAATGGAATGACCTACAGCAAAGACTGAGTCACTATAGAGACATTGTGGCCTTTCTTGTGTTTCAGTGCTTCCCACACACACACACACACACACACACACACACACACACACACACACACACACATCAAGCACATGTTTTTTACTAAACTGTCATGACAGTTTTGGCCAGGAGCCATGTTCTCCACGCACAACCACCAACTCAGCAGCCTTCTCCAGATCATCTGCCCTCAGAGGAAGAAACCATACCGAGATGAGAGAAAAACTCTTTGAGCATTATAACTCCTCCAGCCCAGCAGCGTTTTCAGCTCCAGTTAGGTAGCTGGAGAGAGGGGTCTGTTTGTTCAAAATGCTGCTTTGTACAGTGAGCCTTCAACAGGACCTGTCCTGTTTGTTCGCAGGTGTACCCAGTGGTGCTGGACTAGGGGAGGAAAAAAGGGGGACAGAGTAAATGGGGCCCTCAGGATACTAGAATGGATAGCCGTTCATGCAGGGAATGGCCCTTAGAGAATCTATGTACGTGGCCCGCAATTGAGTGCTACGCCCCTGCGTGTAACGTTTAACTTGTGTTAATGACTGACCACTCTGACAGGGATTAGCAAGTGAAGTGCATCGTCCGCACATGCAGATGACCTGCTCACACATTGTATAACGTCTAATTTTTCACCTAAATCTGCGGCCTAGTTCCTAGAGGTGTACAGACTGGAGGAGTAGACTGGTCTGTTTGGACAACTGGAGACATTTCCCCGGTAAAGGGCTGCAATGGATGTGGGATTTGGCCTGTGTCCAGACAAGTGTTATTCTAAGCTAGTAAAAGCTAAATTTGTCACCAGAAATTCCAGCCAGCCCCCAGGTCATCTAATCCAGAGTTATTTCATTATTGTGTGGAGCGGGAGAGTAAATACGCAACAACTATCAATGAAAATAGGGAACACCTGTAGCGTTATGTACATGCAGAAGCTTTTGTTGGGAATACTAACACGCGCCCAAACCAGTTTACACACAAACCCACAGGAATTATAGAGATGCTGTGGCATACATTACAGTGAAAATATTCACAGGATGCTACACAAAATACACGGACATCTGAAAAGTAGATTGGCTGGTTCCACTGGTGCGTATGCTGTACTTATAGTACTTACAGTGTTATTATGTGTATATTTCCATAGCTTGGTGGATGACCGCTGTGTCGTGCAGCCTGACGCGGGGGACCTCAACAACCCTCCAAAGAAGTTCAGAGGTAAGATTACACACAGAGTTGCCTCGTCCTCCTGAGGCCTGACATCATCACACTAACTGCTGTCTGTTTATACTGCGGGCTCTGTGAGAGACATGCCTCTGAATGTGTTATGCTGTGTTTCTTTGGTGACAGCCACAATGTCTCTGCCCGCTGGACTTCAAACAGGGCTGCCTTTGACGATGCTAATAGTGTGTGTGTGTGTGTGTGTGTTTGTGCTTATGCATACATGGATGTGTTTTATAGCCGTGTGTGCTTGTTTGCACACCTCGTCTGTAGAGGCAGATGGAGGGAATCAGCTCTGATGCTGATTTGTTGGGGAACGACACACTAGAAAAGCTGCTTTTCAAACAAAAGCCTTGAGATGCCTCTTTGGTTGGTGAACCCGCTATTTTTAGCTTCCATACAGGAAGTAGAACTCGTGACCCTCAGTTCTCAGGCTGGAGGTTTATGTCTCTGGGGGGAGCCATGGCCTGACACCGTACAGAGAAAATGAGTGCACTGAAGGCTTGTGTGATATATCTCACAGGTTTTTGTATGAAATACAGTATCAAGAAAAAGTACTGTTCAGTTCTTTTTCTTAATCACTGCTGAATAAATATTTGATTGAGTAATGCAACATTATTGGACTGTTGGTAGATAAATTATGTCTGATAGATTAACAAAATATGTATGACCAAGATGTTTATTTTGTCTTGTTTTGTTTTACGTTGTTGCTTTGCACTTTTTTCATGGTTTAGATCTGTTGGCCTTTGCAGTGTGAAGCAACTTACAGTGTTATTTCAGTTTGACTTTGAAGCTTGTTGGATAGTTAGCATGTCACATGAACATGCTCACATTTTGCATTTAGGATGATATCTGCTGTCTCAAGAGTATAAAGAAGATTGCACTGCATTTTGAGAGTAGAGAGCTTTCATCTGAGTGGCGCCCACACAGCCCATCTCTTCAGTGGGTCTCGGAACAGGTTATCGCCCCCTAGAGACAATCGCTGTCGCCACGATAAACGCAAGTTGCAGGCTGATACCTCCGCGCTTACAGCAACATGAGAGACGAGTCTTTCTCTCTCTTGTCTTTGCTGCTGCATGTGTCTCAACAACTGTCACGTTTACTCAACAGACCTGGACAGAGGGCTGGGAATAAGTGGCAAAAAACATGCCAG